GGAAAGGAAGGCTATGTTTTCACAGTACAGGATCTATCTCTACAAATCAGCATGTCTGTAGAAGAAGAACTGTGATGTTCAGTGTTCATAAGGTCTTGAAAAGGATAGTGGGACATCTGGGTGAAATATTTTTTTGTCTGTCAATCATTCAAAAAGGCAAAGGTCCGGTTGCTGGTCTCCACAGTAGCTCTAGTTACTTGCTGCTGATTCAAGATACACCACTTGTATCACAGCTGACATTTCTACTTGAACCAGATCCAATCCATTTTATGCTTATTCCAGCCTTTCCAGTACATAAGGAGGCAGCAATACAAAAATCAAAGCATAAATAATACAGAAATACCTAAGTATATGTACCTAATTTATGCCATGAAAAATGCATTTTAATTAATTTTTCAAGAAGGCAAGGATGAATTAGATGAGCAGAAATAAATCTTATACACCAAATGACATAAAATTTAGACTATTTTATAATCTTCACTTTAAAATGGGTGATGGCCTTACATTTTAAAAAGCTAAGATATAAATATTCCCCTCTCAGCTTTGGAGAATATTGATTCAACTGCAAAATATGCATAGATAAAAACACCTTCCTAGGTCAAAATTGTGGCTTAACAAGTCACTAGTAACAGACAAAGCTTCAGAGCCTGATGAAAATTCCTTGGATGACCACATTCTGTGATTCTGTGAAACAGTAGGAACACTGAAATATAATGGAAAAAACATCCCTTTCCATTGAGATTCCTTCTAAATAGCAGTCCAATGGTTTTCTCACTGAAATGTGAAAATATCTAGACTTTACAGCACAATTATTTCTGTTCAATTATCAAGAGCCTTTGAATTTTGGTGAGATCTTGAAGGCATTGTTTTGAAGAAGTAACTTCGGTGGACTAATTGTGTGCATGTAGAAATGCAATTATGTGTTCCCCTTCTATTCATCCTTTACAAATGTAAAATTGTAGCAAATTATAATTTTAAAGATTTTGGTAAGTCATTTTGCTGAAACAATAAGAACATTTTATTGATAGAATAAGGGAAGAATTAAAAGTATGGAACAAGAAGAGAAAAGAAAACTGAAAGGAAGAAAAACAAATAGTCATAAGATAATTTGTAAAGTAATTATAATTTTGGTGACTTTGGTCTTCATGTGACCAAAAATCTATATGGAAATTTGATATTAGCTTATAGGAGTAGGAATATTTTTCAAAATAAAATATTTGCAAAATTACTACTCAAGAAACCAGATGAGCCTGAAAGTAATAATATTATGTATGAAAAAAAAAAAGCCTGAAAACAGATCCTGTATTAAGGAAGAAATTTGTTAACTGATCAAAAATGGGCTAATAAGAGAATGATAATACAGAGAATGGAGACAAGTGTGAGAAGACTGTTTTAAGAAACAGCTACTATTATGTTTATGTAACTCAGACAAGAGAGAGGAATCTTCAATGTAAAAGGTAGTTCAGTAATGAAGCACTAAATTAAACAGTTGAATGGAAGAAAATTGGTCTGACTAAAGACAGGGAAACTATTGTTAAGATTAAGAAAACAGAGGAGAATTAGATTAAATACTATAAAAATAGAAGAGGACATTCCTACATAGAGGATGCTGAAAATTAGGTGAAAGAGAACAATAATATGGAAGCTTAGACTGCAGAACTTCTTATAAATAAATGTTTTGAACAGAGTATTCTCATGTCCGAGAAGAAAAAAGCAGACTTAAAGGCAAATGAAATGTTACTGGTTTAGTCACATCTCTTAGGCAAAAAGATCCACAGCTTTTATAAGTCATGCATATTGTCATGGAAACAAAATTGGAAGCCTTGCTTTGGTGAAGGGTATTTCGAGCCCAACAAAAGCAAAGATGCATATTTGCTTGTTTCAGTTATGCTAAACAGAGGAGGTCTGTTGTCAAGTTATCTTTGGATAACTGTATTATAAAGACAGCTTTACCTAATGCTGTCTTATATACCTAATACCTAATTTATCCTCAAATACAGAAGGAAGACAGAATAAAGAAGAAAATTATTTATTGTAAACAAATATTACTTTATTTTCACAATTTCCATTTAATTTTCCTGTTGGATGAATTCAAACAAGTTTACTTTCTGGATTACTAGGTTTATACTACCATCTTACATAGAAAGAAGTGTTCAGATGTTCTTGGACCACTGTTAAAAAAGAACGATGTTATATTTTAGATAAATCACATATAAAGGGGAAATACAACTTTGGGTTCTCCTTGCACTATTTGATTCACTGATGGAAAATATTATGGATGGCACCTGAAGTTTCTGACCATTCTGAAATGTTAATTGAATAATGCATTGTTTAAAACCCAACTGATGTGACATAATAACCATGCAACCTAGAAAAGTTATTTTGTCTAAACCAGACTCTCATTTAAAAAGAAAGAAAAACAGGAAGAGAAAAAAAAAGGTAAATTGACCTGGAAGTGGTTGAGAAAAACCTTGTATGTCAGAGATGTTTAGGATTTATCTAGGCTAGAGTAAGGTGTGCTAAGAACCGTGTCTTCCTTCTGAAACTGAATAAAGAGATACTTTCAAAACAGACCAACAATGATATTCAAACCATGGAAATGTCAAAATATTTAAAATTTCCTGTCCAAACAGCTTAAAAATTTGAGTATTCAGTGAATACTGTTCAAAAGGCAATTTTATCTCATTAGGCAGTCATACATATCTGCAGACATTCATTTCATCTCTAATGGGCTGTTCAAAATGTTTTCCAAGAAAAGAATAGAACTTCAAATGAAGACAATAGGAACCTGGTTCAAAACAAAACATAGAGGAATTGTTTAGGTGGAAGATGGCCCTCGATAGGGATTCCTTTGCCAATGGGGTCTGGATGTTTCCATTAACGCAAAGGGCCACTCTAAGTTAATGGAAAATAAATCCCCTGAGGGTTACAATAAGCAGAAATCATATGAAGCACAGGAAGTTCCCAAGATGAGGATGGATAGAGATTGTCAGGTGTAAATATCAGCCTTGCTCTTATGTTCTCTATTTGCTTATTGCTGCTGTTGGATTCGTGAAAGGTAGCCAGGGTGATCTTTGGTCTGTTGTACCATGCCTCTTATTGCCATCCTACCACATGTTCCAGTCATTTAAACCTTCTAATCAGAGGTCTTGAAAAACATAATCCTGTTTATACAGTTCTTTCCGATACCATTTTTTTCTCCATCAGATTAATTTTTGTTCCTTATCAGCCATTCAGCAATTTTTGGTGTTGATTCAGTAGTTTGTGTGTGTTTGGGTTACTTTTTCAGTGACTGCTGCTTCTAAAACAGCAGTTCTGCCATGTTGCCCATCTTTTAGTATTTTGAAAATGCTGAGGAACAGGTTCATGTTTGAACTGTAATTCAAAAGCAAAGATCTTTATTACCTCTGCTTTGCAATCTCCACCTTCTGGAAGTCACATGTCTGAAATCTCCATGGTAGTCAGTGTGACCGATTCATGCCAAGCATTGAGAGCGCTGCAGTGCCTGCAGCTCTCTCCCCTTCTGGGGAGAGATATCAAAGATAAGGCTAAGGCAAGGATCTAACGCATGTCTTTGTGTAACAGGCAAATCACTTTTCCCAATCTTGCATAAATACTAGCACCCAGTGCTCATCTAACCTCTTTGTCTAAACTTTTGAGGCATTTCTGGTATCATTCTAGTGAAGAGATCTTTCAAATAGCCTACAAAATTGAGAAATTTTCCTAGTCTGGACTTGTGAGGGCTCTTCTTTTGCCATATCGGGTGAAAGTGCTCCATCTCTGTGTACTTGTTCTGAAATAAAAGATCAGTGCTTGCTTGTACAAAGAGTCTACATAAATCAATGGCAAGCAGTGGTGTTTTAGCCTCTCAGAGGACTCTGAAGAGGATGACACACAGGGCAGCAGCAAGGGTCTGGCTGCTCCCTCAGGAAGGAGCAGAGGGCGACCCCAGCATAGGCTGTGCCCTTGCCAGCAGGTGCTGTCCCACAGGGGCTGAGCGCATTGGGTAGAGATAGACACGTCCATTGCCAGCCCTAGGCACTGCAAGCAGTCCAGTAGCTCCAGGAACACTGGCTCCTTCTGCTGAGGGAAGCAGTTAGCAGTACGGCACACAGGGCCACAGACAAGACTGGCAACATGCACATCCATCATGTAGCTGGGCCAGGGACTTGCAGGCCCAAGACAGGATGAAATGGAGGTGCTGGGACTCAGGAGAGGGTTGAGGGAGATCCTGGGAGGCTGCGCTGGGACATGCAGGGCTATCTGTACCTTCCAGGCTCAGGCATTGAGTTAACCTCATATCCAGAGAATATTGCAGTACTATACATGGGAAATGGAGATGCCATAGGGGAAGAATAATATAGTATCATGCTAGGAACTATAAGCCAAAACCTCTTTTATTTAATTAGTATGTTCTTGTTACCAATTTTTTTTATCCTGGCAAAAAGTTAATATAGCTGATTAGATTTTTTCCTCTTCTGGCCCGTCTAAATGCATAGTGGTCAAATTCTTCCTAACTAGGATATCACATATATATTTCAGTTTTCATTACTCCCTCAATTATCTAATAAGTTAATAGAAAACATCTGGCAGTGAATTAAACCCAATTGACTGATTAAAAAAATCAATATAGTAAAAAGAGAAAATTAAATACAGAACTTTCTATAGGCAGTGGTTTAGTTGATCAGATTCTGAGACTTTACGAAGATCTGTGATGGGTCCATTGTAACCATTGGCATCTAAACTAGTTACCGTAGACTTCCTTTTAAATCTGGCAAGACAAATACATGTCTTTTTATGTGTGTATCTCAAATGTGCCAGTACATGTTTCTAAATCTAGAAACATGTACTTCTCTTCATGGATCATAAAAGTGTGTTGGCTACTTTAGAGTGTAAATACAGGATAATAGACAATTCACGATTAGGTGAGAGAATCCCACATTGTCTGAATGAAGACTAAGATTTTGTTCAGATTTTCCTAAAAATATTTTTTCTTTCTTTCTGGTGTGTAAATCATCCTATCAGCAAGATATTTACAGAAGTGTGTTCAGTTCTGTCTAGCTCCATTTAACATCTGTCTCTCAGCAACACTGGAACATGCCTTGCAGAAGGAAGCAAGTTCACTAGAAGTCATTTGTCAACTTTGATGTCTTCCTTCCAGACACCCAGTTCTGTGAAACTTTCCCTTACTCAGTTAGACTGTCACAGCCCATTATTGTCATACTGTAGCTCGATGTATTAGCTTGGCAGTCTCAGATAGCTTAATAGCCATCAATCACTTATAATACAAAACTCAAACACCTGGTTAATTTTTTTAGGAGGCAACCAAACCAAATTCTTCTTATTACAATGTCATTCTGCTTGTTTTCTTTGTTTGCTTTTGGTCACATGAAAGTAGGGCCTATATGATACTTCCATCTGTTTGTCACGCCCTTCAAGAAAACAGTGACACCAAATCAGCCCAAAACAATCTTATGTGCCTAATTATTTTAATTCTATTAGAGGCTTGCCTTTGTAAGGCATTTCTCAAAACTGTGCCCTTTCTTAAGTGAGAGCTACTTGTTAGGCCATGGAAAGTTAAAATGATTTTGTTAATTGAAAGCAAAATATTTTTGTAAAGAGAATAAAGAGATTTAAAACACTTATTTGTACAAACACACTCACATAAAACTTGTACAGTTAGTTGAAAAAAATTTTTTGTCACATTTTTCTACAAAAATGCTATTCCATGGAAATCAAAACTTTCTGTAGTAGTAGGAATGGACCAATTTTGGTGACCTTTCATAAGGAAAAGGCAATTCAAGTTGAAGGACTCCAAAGAGATCAAAATATTCCACTTTGATCTCAAGTTTCAATTTTTCTTATTAAAATCTCTCTTCATTTCCAAATAAAATTTTTCCATTGTGAATTATAAAACTTAAAAGAAGAAAACATGAGAAAAAAAATCTTTCATTTTACTAAGAGGTAATTTTGAAATAGGTAATTTTCTTGAAAATTTCTTGAAAGTGATTTTCTTCACTCTAGTATTGAAGAAAATCAGTTCTTTAAATCCATTTCCCACAGAATATGAAAACCATTTCCTGAACAACTCCAATAATTTCTGAGGCATATATTTCAGAAAGAAATCCTTCTCCACTTACCGCTTCTTCTAAGATAGACAGATGAATCATGCCCTGGAGGTGCCTGTTTCTTTCAGCTGGCTATAAAGGGAATCTAGGTTGATGAGTCTAGACATCGACAACCAACTTTCAGATATTTACCCTTAGGCAAGACGACTACTTTCTATTGAAAAGATGAAAATAGTATACAATTACTTTTCTGTAAGCATGATTTTTTAAAGTCATGCTTAAGGGAATGTTTATCAACAGTTTGTCTTCTAATTATATGCCTTGAAAGAGATTAGCTGGGGAGGTGGTGGAATCCCTGCCATCCCAGTGCAAGAATTCACTGAGAATACCTATGGATACCTGACAATACTTTTGTATAATTTCAAATTCAGCAACCCCAAATTTGTGAGAAAGATTAATAAATACAGATACACTGAATTCTGTCCTCCCTCTTCTTCCCCTGGGGACAGCAGCCCTGGGAAGGCTGGAAAAAAATCCTAGTGTCCTGCTCCCAAAGGAAGTAACTGCAGCATGTGGCAAGAGCACTGTGGGTGAGCTGTGGGTCCAAGAGGAGGCATCAGGGATGTTCTATGCAATAACAGGAGTTCTATCAGACCTTGACATGTGATCAGAGAAAAAAACAGTGTGTTAGTGCCTTAAGATATATAATAAACTACATTTGGGGTTATTTTGCCCAGAGAAAAGGAAGCTCAGGAGGGGCCTAATCACTCTCAAAATGACCTGAAAGGAGATTGTAGACAGGAGGGGTCAGCCTCTTGTCCCAGGCAACCACTGACAGGATTAGAAGAAATGGCCTCAAGCTCCACCAGGGAAGGTTTAGATTGGATATTTGGGAAAATGGTCATTAATTGGAACAGGCTGTGCAGGGAAGTGGAATAGGCATCCCTGGAAGTGTTCAAAAGGTGTGTGAATGTGGCACTTGAGAACGGGATTTAGTAGTGAATATGGAGGTGCTGGGTTATTGGCTGGTCATTTCTAATCTTAAATTTTCTATGCATTTTAGAAATTTCATGGAGAAAGGTGGGTAGAGTCAGCTTACAGGTATTTTTTGTTGTCAAGCTTTTCAACACTGAAGCTGGAGAATAATATAGTTTATGTAGAGGCTAATTGAAAAAAGAAAAACAAACAGTGTTATATTGTACATGTGCATCCAGACAAAGGTGCCACAACAGAAAAATTTAGCAGGCGAGTTGTACTTTTTTGGACTGAAAACTGAAAATAACTCTTCATTTTGTGGTTTTCTAGTATTTGTTGACTTTCTCAATCTGAAAGGGCAGAAGAATGCCTGGGATGCCTCTACTGCCTCAACAGAGTTTTGCAGCAGTGAATTATTTTGAAGAGAATGCATTTACATTCACTTTTGTACAGCCAGTGGACTTTCAATTAGCTGCAGATACCATTTAAGATGTGGCTATAGTGATGCAGTTCAGGTATGCAAAATTAGACAGCCCTTAATGGAGGAGGAAACCTGTCAATACCGCAGAGAGCAGGAAAAGGTCAACTCACAGGGCACAGACACAAGTGTCCCCCAAGGCCAGTGAGCAGCTGTAGGGATCCCACATCACTATTCTCTCCACTAGCTCCAGGGCTGACAGAAATACCCTGTTCCCATCCCTAAATTTCTGTTTGTTATAGCACAATGGAAATTGTCTAATGGTTGTCTGAAATACTGTATCAGAAAAAAGAAAATAACTTGGCTTTACAGCTGATGATGTCAATGACCTTTCATGACATGACAGTTACAGCAATAGTAAGCACTTAAAAGCAAGTTGATTCTGCCCCTGTCATCATCTACTTCCCCATTTCAGATTATAAAAGTTATACCCATACTGGCCATTCAGATCCCATTCCTATTCCCATTACAGTAACAGTATTTAAGAAGCAAAAACCATCCACAGAATCTGATAGTTGTTATAAAAGCTTGCTCTTGCTTTCTCTCCTTTGGAGAACCCCAGGACAGAAATTCCCCAAAATACATCTCAGAACCTCCATGTCCATAATACAATCAACACTGAATAAACATACGTATTTCAGAGCACTTACACCAGCTATTCTTCGAACACGAAAAGCTCCTCCAGGTCATTCATCCAAGCACTGTTAAATGAGTGCAGGTACTCCTGGAGCAGAAACAAACTGGAACAAAACCATCTCTGGCCATGTCCCCCACGGTGGGTGAAGGAGGTCTGAGTTAGCTCCTTACCATGAGATTCTATGGGAGAAAGGTGAAATGCTTAGCATCGGCTAGGAGATATCCCTGATTTACACACAAGGGAAGAAAATGCATAACTGGGGAGGACAGCAAGACTACCGTCCCTTGTCCCTCTTGCTGCTCTATCCTTTCCTTCCTCTCTGACCTGAACTTCACTATACTACCTTTCCTTTACCAGAATGATGTCTTTTGGTTCCTGCTCTTGCCTCACCCTTTATTTTACTCCGGGACCCCTTACATTTCCTTTGTAAAATACAGAGATTGTCACATCAGTTGCCTTATTATCTATTGGGTTCTGTTAAGTGTATCTGAGAGATCTCCATGGGCTTCTATAAGCTCTTACTTAAGGTAGCAGCTCTCTGGTCACAGAAAAAACCAGACAACTTTCCCAGGCATCCTTCTGGGAAAGGCTGTGAGAAGACCAAAGAAAATAATTATAAACAATTCTTATCTTAATTTGCTGCATCTGATGTCGTGAACATATGGAATGTGTTATGGACATATGTTTACCAAAAGGGTGGTTTCTTAATTAGCCAATGGTAATGGTGTTTTAATTAGAGGATCAATCAGGTCCACCTGTAGCAAACTAGAATATAAAAAGCAATGGGTTTCTTAACAAAGTGAATTAGCCTTCTGTGAATGCCTTGGGAGTCTATGTCACTTATTACCCAGTCCTGACCCGATAGGATGACAGTGTCTCAGGATCAAAATCTGTTAGAAGCTCTAATCTGAAAACCCTCTTTTCTGCCCTGTGAAGATGTGCTTAAACATCTGGTTTCGTTGCTTGGTAATCTTTTAACTCAGAGTAAAATTAACAGCAGGTGAACTCTTATCAGGATTCTATGGTGAATCTATTCAATTTAACATATGCATATTTTCTCTAGTAAATTTCATTTATGCATAATATCGATGAAAAATTAATTTGCTATGTATGTACCTCTGAAATACTTGCTTATTTGGAGAAAAAAAGAAACCAAAAATTAACACTCTATCTCTATACCAAATTATATTCTGTTAGAATGCTAAAAATAACTAGATTTCTTCATTATATGAAGCAAACAGCTCAGATTTATTTTGGGAATCTTTTATCATACTTTCAAGTATTTTAATTATAATTAGAGTTAAATGAAAATATCCCTATTTTTTTGATGCATTTTGTCTTTTTGCTGTTCCTATGTTATTTATGACTAAACCAAGCCTTTCTGGAACTCATTCTTGATTTACATTGCAAAACCAGTTTGAAAACATGACATTCTGAAATCACAATTGAGGAAATGTAACCCCCAAGGTTTGGATACAGCTACTCATGGGCACCAGGAGGCTCACCCATGTGGGATTTGCCATCCTTTTTTCCCCAACATTCCCAGACTTAAGTGTGAAGAGGGGCAGCTACTGAGCCACCAGGCAGTTGCTTCCAGTTTCTCCACATGGTTGTTCTGCTTCATAGACACCATCTCACATGAAAGACTGAAAGGTAACCCACTAATATCTATATACTTGGTTATTTTTACTTGCTTTTGTGGATATTAAGGGAAGGATGTTTGGGGAAAGAGGTAAATCCATTTTGATATCAATCCTTTTGAAAATAAGTTACTGCAGTTCCTTACCAGTGTTAGATAAAATATCAGAGAACCATTAGGGTCATTCTGATGACATTCTTCAGCACACTCCTGTTAGCCAGAGATCAGCACTGCCCAGGAGCAAGGGTTTTTTGCTTTTCTTATCTCCAGCAAGAGCCCAGTGCCAGCTGATCTATCCACCATCAGCAACCTTTGGAAGCTCTAGCACTGCTTAGATGATGCTGTATTAGTGAAACCTCATCTCTGTGAGAGCACTTTATTTTATTAAAAGTGCAATTAAAACAAAATCAAATACTTTCATTAACTGCAACAACTAAAAATTATACTCCCAGTTGCTTTCTTCTCATTAAGAAAATTTGCATTTGAATAACTTTTCAACTGTGTGTATTTGTAATTAATGCAATTACAAGCCAGAGATATGTTCCCAAAAGTAAAGAAAACTTCTTTATCAGTTTTACCATTTTAATTGAAATAAGACTTTGTATAGTGAGTTATTTAATGTCTGTTATCTGAAAAGTACATATAGAGATAACAAGTCAGCCTCAGTATTTGGGACTGTGCTCATTTATTTTAGAGCGGATGTAAGTCTGGGAGCCACAGAGGATGAATTGTTGGGTTCAACCCTGGAATACTGAGTATTTTGACTTTGTTGGTTTAAAACCAGGGCATATTGTTTAGTTAACTCTGTAAAATTATATTTTTCTTTTCCAAATTAATATATGAGAGATAGGAAGATAAAAATTCATAAAAGGGAAAACAAACCTTAACTAGGTTAAGGGAAGATAAAACATGTTCATAGCAAGAAGGGGAAAATTATATAGTTTATAAATAAAATAATACTACCTGGAATTGTCACATAGTCAAGGCTTTCAGACATAAGCAATATCATGCTGGATGCTGCACAAACACATGATTGGAGCCTTTACTTAAAATAATTTATCATCTCTGTGTTCAATTACGAAACCATTTTGGTAAATTTCTCCTGGACTTCAGAGAGCCTCTTGGTCAGGCCTCAGCATTGATAGTCTACATGTAAGTCTTACTGCAGGGCCCTGCATCTTCATGCCTGTATTCCACAACGGAGCCTAGTTTGAAACAGGAGCCACAGGTGCACTACCAGTAAACTGGCATGAGGCAAAAATAGTTAAAAATAGATTATTCTATAAATTAAACAGTTCACAGACAGCTTGAAAGGGTTAAAAGGGGTCCATGCTAGCTATTATTGCTTGGGTAAGAACCTGTCACCAGGGAATTTTTAGTAAATTCCTTCTTTGACTACACAGAAATATCTTTCCTAAACTTTTATTTTTCGTTCTGAAAATGTATTCAAGATGCATAGAATTCCTTTAAATGTCTTCTTTCCAGTAGTGAGAGAATACACATCTCCCACTACTCCTGTGACAAAAATACATTAGGATATTTCTTATATGATATGTTCAGCAGCAAAACAAATCCTATGTAGAGAGTTATCAAGTAGAAAGAAAAGACAGATTGAGTAGATAATTTTTCAAACTTTTATGTTCCCCCTCCCCTTCCTCCCTCACAAGTACAGGACTCACAACTTGTTCTCAAACTGCCTATCTTCTAGCTTTGGTTCACTGCTGGAAGAATATTTCAGGTAAAAACAAACAAACAAACAAAAAAACTGCATAATGACCTGAACACCAAAGGTGCAACCATATGTAACGGACAAGAAGGAAATCTAAGCCAATCAAGAATTGCTTCAAGAATATCCTCTCTGCTACACAGTAGGTCAAACAATATGGTGACATCATCTCCTTCAGGGTTACATTGTTGCTAAACTAGGAATTTGCCATAAGTTAGATCCCAAAATCATAGAAGTATAGAATAGTTAAGGTTGGAAAATAGCTCTAAGCTCATGAAGTCCAACCATCAGCCTAGCCCACCACCACATATCCATACAGGATTGTTCATTTACTGGTGTTTTTCCATAATAGAAGGCTTCCTCCTCTTGCCCTGAGGGTATTGTTGCAAGAAGGAAATTTAACATCACAGGATCTGAGTTCTAGATCTGATCAATACAACTTTTCTTAATTTCATTCTCAGTTCTATACTCTGTTCATTGAAGTGTGTAATTCCCATCTTTTCCTGTACACTATTCAGGTATATATAAATTGTTGTGGCTTTGTAGAATTTTGGCTTCCATGTAGCCAAGTGATACAAGTTTAGTCTGACTCTTTCTCTCTCCTGCTTCTACAATGTTTTTATTGCATTTTTGGTGTTACTCTGACTTGTTGACACCTTCAGGACACTGACTCGCCCAGAGCAAAACACACTACACCATGCTTGGTGTGTCACCAACACTACAGAACTCTTCAGCTGCTCTGTATTGTTCCCTCATATACATCAGGTAATTTCCAGGTCCTTGCAACAGCTTTCACTGAATTTGGCTGTCTCTGTTACAAGGATTTCCATCTTGGATCAATACTCTCATCGTAATAAACAAAGAACAAAAATACTTACATTGAATCTTGTGACTTCAGACCATGTATAAGGAACTCCTAAAATCTGGCATTTAAAATTCCTCTGCCTTTAAAAAAGTAACACATTTTTAAAATTTGGCAGCTTTTTCTTATCCATTAAATTAAATAAGGGCAATATTGCAATATATTTCCCAACACTCACCAGATTAATTTAAAATTTGAGAGCATTACAGGAACCCATATTCCTCCAATGCAAATTTTAACTATGACTCTGCACTTCTTATTTTCATTAAATTTCCACCCCTATTAGCCACTGATGACATTATCCCTCTTTATTTCTTCTGTCCTTTTAGTAATAATACACTAGTTCAATACAATACATAAATTATTAGAGAATTTAAAATTTGCATCACAATCTTTTCTACAGACTTTTCCACAGTTTCATATCATTTTACAGTGTTCTCGCTTATATATCATTCATAGTTTTGACTTGCAAATATTTTAATAATTCCACAGAAATAAATACCCATGCAAGAAATTTAAAATTATATCTAGTATCCTATAGATATACCTCTCAGGTTTGAACAGCCATATGGCTTCTTTGATAGCTTTTTAATAAAGAATGCTCTTATACACAGTCCTTCCTTCTATATTGCTCAAGGCACCTCTCCTCTTTGAACATCTTAATTCCTGAAACTTGTAGAAAATTACCTTAAAGTTTTGCTTCTTCTCAAAGTTGGTTGAAAAGGGGCACTAGATTCATAAGGTTCTGAAGGATAGAAGAAATATTTTCTGTCAAAGCGTAATTATTTCAAGGAATCTACTGTTCAGTTGAAGAGAAATTATATTTTAGAAGAATTACATAAAAAGGAGGTAAGAACTTCTAATGAGGAAATTGATGATTAACGGATGAGTCTGCTGTCACCTACACATAATGGGGAAAGTATATCTTGTCTCATAGGAAATTGAAAAAGGCAATCAAATTCCTCAAATTTAAAAAACTAATGACATGTTTCCAATATTGTTTTGCAGACATTTCCGACTGCTCATATTTCAGCCTTTAATTCAAATAAACATTCCTTTTACAAAAAGAGTTACTTGGGATACTGGTGTGCAAACAGAAACAATCTTTGTGCTGCTTAAAATAGACTGGGATCACTTAAGCTGCATCAGTTTGTTAAGTCAGTAATTTCTTAATAAAAGCTGTAAAATCAGTTTCAACTCTCTTGACAGAATGTACATGCTGGCAAAATAATCTTAAAGAAAAAGAAATAGGAAATATAATTTATCTATAATAAAAAAACCCAAACAAAAAGCAAGCCCCAAAACCTGCTCCCCAAACTGTATTACACTAATTATCTAAAATACTTGTTCTGCAGTGATTTTTTGGCGCTTTTTTTATGCTCTCAAAAGTCTTTTGCTTGCACTGAATTGCCATGCAAAATCGAGACTCAGATGATTCAGATCTTTACCCAGTGGTTTAAGGTGGTGTTATTGATGTGAAGTATCGGAAGTCATTAAATCTGAGAGACATCATATGAAACCAAGTTTATGCCTTTTTGCTTGGAAACACCTTCTACACTGCAACCACTCTGTATTTATGGAGGTTCATATCACAAAATAGGCATTTCTCTTCTTTAGCAAATGGCATTATCATCAGATAAGTAGAGGCTGAAGCCAAACAAACTCAAGCCTTTGAGGTGGAAATTTAGATTTTTTTGCTCTTATGATACCCAGCAAAATGCAGCATATTGAAGTATCACAATATAAAATAAAACATATTTAATATTCCTTAAACAGTCCCACTTCACATTGTCTCTCAAGTTTTTTCATCTAGACTGTGGATTGGTAAAAGTATTTTGGATCAGTGAGCTAATGTAAAAGCACATATTTTATGCCTATTCTCATATTACAGTCTAACCTTAGGCATGTTAAGGCCATGAATGAAAAAATGCAAGTGCCTTATGAAACATCCTGATATGTGCATAGCAGGAGCAACCACCCTTCACAAAATCTCCCATGAAGAAAACACTGTGTGTGTCCAGCCAGACTAATCATACCAGCATATGGCGCTCTGTCAAGAAAACTTTTTTAAAAAACCTGTCTGCTATGTTCTTCTGATAGCAATCAAGTAAAAGAGCAGCATTAACACTGACCTTCTGGATGCTTCTTTTCCACTGCCTTTGATATTCTAGACACAGTGAATGAAAACGGGGAGGAAAAAAAGAGTTTATTACAAATACCAAAACCAAACTCTATTAAATATTAGAAATCACAGATATTTATATTTAGGTTGGAAATTGTCACAAAAAAGGGGATCTGTTGAGAAACAGAATTCAGCATATCAAGATCAGCCATGAAAGATATTTGGGTAACCTACTTCCAATATGTTAAAGAAACAGTGATGTAATACAGCTTGTCTTGCTTTGGACGGAAGCTCTTCTTGAAAATAGGTTTTCATAAAAAATGAAATTGCTGTCCTCTTGCTCAAGTGGCAGCTCCTGCCTTTGTAACAGCTTTCTACAGATTGGAAGAGTGTCGCCCTGATTCTTAAGTTTTTCTAAAGCCTTCTGAGTTTACATTCTGTTGGAAAACTTTCCCACACAATTTCTGTAAACAACATATTGTTTTGCATTCCTTCATGGGGGTAGAGAAACTTAATATACTAGTGGTTTGTCCAATGTCTTTAGAGAGGTGGCCCATTCACTCTCCAATCCACTATCACCTTTGAAAAAGTATAAAAGTTGGAGTCAGAAAATAAACTTCCTCTTTTACCTTGCAAAATAGCAGGTGGCTCACGTTGTGCTTTCACGTGTCCTATAGCAACAGAAGAATTAATTAGTATCCATTAAGAGACTATTTATATCCATAGATATAAAGACATACATGCCATTAAACACTAAATATTATTCACTAAACACATACAGGTACAAACTTGAGTCAGGCACATCAATGGGAGGCAGTGTTCTCCACTCCCTATTTCCACATTGCATTCTGCTCTCTCTTACAGGTCATATTTTCTACCATGCTGGTATTTGTTGTTGTCTTCTGTATTCTGTTTAATGGTATGTTTTTTACCCTCTAGTAGCCCAGCTGATGACACACAAATCACATACCTCCAGTGCTTTACATATGGTATTTAGTTAATGCACCACAGAACATGCTTTGGCTTTTCAACAACAGCATCATGTTGCCAACTTAAATTGAATTTGCTATCCATGGTGCTGTTTCATTTTCTGTGTTGTCCCAGCCTACTGAGGAGGAAGGTGGAAAAGGTATTATTCTGATACAGGATCTGTGATATTGTGAAGAAGGAGTGATACTGAGATGACAATATAAAATCAAAGCTAAATTAGAAGATTGACTATTTACTTCACCAAAACCAGAAGCAGATACTATGTTGGAGAAAAACTGCCTATCTCATGCAGTGCTTAGTGTCAAATGTTTTATACTCTCTTTGAATTGTATCTTTATGCATATTTGCATGAAACTACTGGTGAAGTTTTATTACCATATTCAATAATAGAGTACAGAGCTGGTAGGAACCAAATGACATATCTGGTCCCAAGGCAGTGTCTATTATCTCTGACAGATATTTGTCTGACCAGCTTATAAACACAAGTCCCAGTGCAAAAATAACGTAACAATCATATTTAGCCTGAAATTTTCCTATGATTTAAGCCCATTTTATATTATCCTACTCCCATTAGGAGTATAACAGTACAGCTTATTCTCTTTCAACTTTCAGGTATTTTACATATTTGATATTTGTCATGTCTCCCCAGCACAGTTACTTTTTTATAGTAACACAACACTGTTCACTCATGCTCAACCTAAGTACCACTGTCCATTCCTCATACTACGTTTTAGATAAGAAATACCATCTAAACAGAGTAGTACCTTGAAATTGTCCCTGAACTGTATCCTAATTTTCTCTGACTATTTTTCCACATCAGTATTAAACCTCTCTTGTGCATATTTCAGTCATCCCAGCTTTAAATTTTCTGCAAACATAAAATAACTGTAATCAATATCGAGAAACATATTTCATGGATACTATATATATCTGCATTGCATACAGGATATTTTCTGCTGTTTGAGATCAGTGTGAGACAAGAGTAGTCACACCAAGCACATTTATTCATAAAGTAAAGACTGGATAAGCGATTCATGTAAGGAACAGTATCCCTAAGCAATTGTAATTTATGTATCTTACATTTACAGAACATGACAGAAATCCACACTTCCCCAGCTTTAATGGTATGCACATCCATATGCAAGCCTAGCCTTAACTATGCTCTTAAATCTCTTGTACAGGTGTTTAGAAATGTTGAATATTTTGTATTTTAGTAAATGTTAAGCTTAATATTTAAGCCACTGTTTCCAAATACAATCCAGCTAATTTCTTGTGGCTTTAATCAAATTGGTAGGTATATGTTCAAAAGACCCTCTAATAAATTAGTAAGGCCTTTTCTATATCTTCCCCAAACCAAGGCCCATTCCATGCTGCACAGTTTAAGGCTTCTATTCATCTCTCCAACCATACACAGAAACTCGGCCATCTGAACATGTGCTGTTTAGTCCCCAAATACAGGGACTCAATACTTTTTTAGCTTGCATTTACCCTTTACAAGTTTTTATATAATCATCCCAGAATGATTTTACTTTTCATTCTGCGAGATAACCATGGAGATCTGAAGGGGTTGATGTTTCACAGCAAGGAGGAGTAAGGCAGTGCTCCAGAGTCTTTGTAGAAAAAGCAATCCAAAACTAATCCTGTTTATTGAAGCAATAGTTGTTCTACAGCCTTCACAAGTCAACATTGTTCAGAATTTTTAGCAGAATTTTTTTCTTCTTTAATCTGGACACAATGCTAAGTAAAAAAAAAAAAAAGGAATCAGAGAAAAATGATATTTAATTGTTGTGGACAGTGAGCAACATGAGCAGCTATGTCAGAAAAACTGCAACAGCAAGTTCATGTGTTGTTCCCAGGCGTGTTAAAGTGAGCCAATTATAGCAACCCTTATGTATTCTCAGAACATGTGTTCATTCTTTATGAAATGGCAGAATATCTTAGTAGAGGGAGTTCATGTAAATTATTTATGATTAAATCCTGTAGCTTGGCTTAGCTTATGTCCACTCTCAGTGAAAGAACTTTAAACTTTTTAAGTGGAAGCATGATGTACAATATTAAAGAGAAATATTTATATATATATTCTCTTTCTATCTATGGATTTCAGACATGAGATAAAAGGTTTCTATTGTTGATTGTTTCAGCTCTCTTGATACTACTGCAAAGCATTTACTGCTGAGCTTGAAGCTACAGCTTGGGGATTTCAAACTGACAGAAATGCTCTAAACTAGCAGTTGCCTTTTGATTTGCCAAAAAGTCTTCCGAGCTAGCAACAGCAGTATTCTGGTATGAAAAAGATCAAATATAATGAATCACTCTCATCACCCTCTAGAGAAACAATTACATTGCTCTATTAAATAAAATCAGTTTTTATGAGGTAATGATTTCTGGAGTCCACAACAGAGTCTATCTATATTATGCATCACTTAAAGTTTTGCTCCAGGTAAAAGAGATGTTAGCTGACAGCACAGCCAAGTTTATATTCAAAACCAGAAAACTTCTCACAGTCCTTTTTTAATGGATGCACTCAGATACAGAATTTGCAATGCTGTCCAGCCAGTTATCTTTAGAGTATGTTTAAAATGAAAATTAATTCAGTGGCTGCTCAAGTAATTTCCATTACCCTGTTTAATGCTCCCTATTATAGACAAATCTTCTTTATGGAACCATACAGTGACAGATTGGCTTTTCTTGTTATCAAGTATCTAGCAAGTGAGCCTCATCAAACAACTCTGGCGACTATAAATGATGTTCTTGTTCCCCTGGATACACCCTTGTGTCCTTTGCAATACTACCTTCCTTTGTCTTTTATAAGAAGAATTACCAAAGAACAGAATTTGAAACTTATCCATCAGATTCAAGGTTGTTTATTGCCTTAGAAACATTCACAATTTCTTAGGGCTACCATATATAAGTAATTTTGTCACCTGAACTCCTTCACTGGGCAACAATTCCCCAGGTTACAGCACTTAAGAGTTGTTGCTTGTCTTTTGTAACATGCCTGCATTTCTTTCTGAAAGACTGGAAACTCCTCCTCCTCCAGGTGCTAACATAATATCCTATATGGTGCTTTGTCTCCAGGTGAGAAATGAAGATTAGTCACGGCTGATTTGTGTTCATGACTTCTTTTCACCCTTCATTGATTTTGTGCTTTATACATAAACTTGGACTTCCATATTAAATGAAAAGAAAATCCACAGATCTCAACTTACCTTGACAATACATTCCTAAATTCTGTAAATGATTTTTCAAACTGTAGCAAATCAGTTAACATCCTGAATTTTGAAGCCCTGTACAATCTGCATAAAGCAATACATAACTAGTTATTATACTTTCAAAGCTACAGTAGGAGTGTACTACTTTAGGTAAAACAGGTGTTTTCCAACAAAAAGTAGAACAATTCATTGTGCTATATTATCCAAAGCACTGTGTTCTGACTCTCTGAATGCAAGGGCAGGTGAAGAAGGCCTTACAGTGTCTGTGCCAGGCAGCAGTTTGCTGCTCAGAGCCTTGCAGACACAGTAGGGGTTAGAACTGTTTATGATTCAACCAGAGAGCACCCAAAATGAAAGCAAATTTTCTGAGAAAACCAAACATATTTTGCTGATTATCTTGGACATCCAGGAGGGTGCTCAGTTAATGAAGTCACAAGAAAAAAGTTTAGAAGTCAACATGCTACACAGACTACATACATACCACTACATTGTACGCTACTACATTAACGTTGCTGAGCACACTGTGTACATTAGCCATGCAGCAGGCACTTCTAATGCACGGCTGACATACAGAAATATCTCCGCAATACATTCAGAAAAATATTGCACTCTGAGTTTACAAGGTATTACTAACCTATGAATTATGGTAGAAAACAACAAGGGGAATATTCATGTTGCCCACTTCAACAGCCTACAAAACCAGACTAGGCTTCCTCCACAGTAAATATAGAGGGACAGACAAGTATCTCAGAGATTATTTCAGAGGATTCAAGTTAGACAGCAGCAGAAGGAGGACAACCAGAGCACTAACTTCCTGCTTACCTGAGCTGCTCTAAATTGTTCCCTGGAGGCGTCAACGCTACTCTGCTGATTACAAACAGTGCCTAGACTCCTTATTTAGAAACCTAATTTGGTATCTAAAATCAGATATGGTGAATAATTCCTGAATATTCCCTAAGACCTCAGAATTTTCAAATCAGGCAAGCAATGGGTTTTAATTAAATTTCATTGAGTTTAAAGCTCAATTTTTGTAACTTCTCCAAAAAAATGGAGCATCTGAAGCAGCAAACAATGAAGTTAATGCCCTGCAGACTGCAGATCTTCATGCTGTATTTAAGTAAATCCATGCTAACAATCTGTTACACCCCACCTAATGGATTTTACATCCAATACCACTGGTATAAATACAAAGCGATTTCAATACAAAGTAATTTTAATAATGGAAACTGATGCAGAATAAATATCATGCTCATTGTTTCATAGATCTGTGTAAAGTAAATAATACTTATCCCTTTCCAGTGGGATTTTTAATGTAAAAATGTGTTCTTTTCCTCACCTTGATATAGATTAATTAACAAGAAATCAAAACAAGATATTTATGAAAGATGCAGGAGGATAGCAGTGCAGGTCCACCTCCTTTTCAGCATACACTGTGTGATCAGTGGTCATACAGACTT